AGCTCCGACGGATGGTTCTGTCCAGAATTCTTACGACAAAGTAGTCACTATGTTGGATTCGTACTTTCAGTACACTCCGAATGTAATGTTCGAACGACATACTTTCCGCCGATTGGCGCAAATGGAGACAGAGACAGTAGCTCAGTTTGGCAACCGTTTGGTTCAACAAGCAAAGCTCTGTTCGTTTGCTGACCAGGACGAGCAAGTGTGTGACCAGCTTGTAGAGAAGTGCATCGATGATCGTCTACGCCGAAAGTTTCTGGAGAAACAAGGCACTCTCAAGCTCAAGGATGCTCTGGAGTTGTCCAGACAGTTCGAGGCAACTGAACTCAGCGCTCGAGGAATGTCACAATCGCGCAGTGCTCCAGCTCCTGTCCGTCTGGTATCCTCCACTACTGGCACTAGGACACCAACGTATTCAAGTGGTCCACCCGGAGCAGAGTGTAGCAACTGTGGTCTTTCGGATCACACAGCGGAGTCTGCTAACTGCCCTGCACGTGGCAAGGAGTGTCTGAATTGCCACAAGAAAGGTCACTACAAGCGCAAGTGTCGGAAACCAGTGACATCCAGGTCGTCCAAGACTGGAAGGAGAGGAAGAGGAGGTGGTACACATCAAGTCGTTAGTGCACCTTCAGCACACAGCGCACCAGCATCTCAGCAGAAGCCTGTCCAGCATGAGTCCTACGCTATTGGGAAAGTCACGTCTCCGCTGAACGAGTCAGACTCGCTGTTTGTGTCCGTGTTCGTCAACGAACGGCCGCTGAGAATGGAAGTGGACACAGGCGCGAAAGTCACTCTAGTACCTGAACACGTGTGGGAACAGTCCTGGAGTGATGTTCCGCTTGCGGCGTCCCAGCTGCAACTCACCACCTATGATGGCAGTTCGCTACCAGTGGTAGGAGAGACGGTTGTTGAAGTAGCGTACGGTGAGCAATCCATCACAGACACCATTGTGGTTGTGAAGGGCGGTAGCCATCCCCTACTCGGTCGTAACTGGTTGCACCGTCTTCGTCTCGACTGGCCATCATTGTTCCGCATCAACTCAGTGTCGAGCACAGAGGCTGACTTCAAGAATGAGTTTCCGGCGGTATTTGGAACTGGCCTCGGTACGGTCAAGGACCACCAAGCTGAGATCCACTTGAAGGAGGGAGCGACCCCTCGCTGTTGTTCAGCTCGTCCCGTTCCGTATGCTCTGCGTCCTGCCGTGGAGCGTGAGCTCGACCGTCTGGAGGGTGAAGGTATCATACGTCCAGTCAAGTCAGCTGAGTGGGCCTCGCCACTAGTGATAGTCAGCAAAAAGAACGGCGACATCCGCCTTTGTGCCGACTTCAAGGTCACGATCAACCGGCACATCGATCCACGTCAGCATCCAATACCTAATCCGAATGATCTGTTGTCACGTCTTGCCGGTGGGTCAATGTTCAGCACGCTTGATCTCAGCCAGGCATACGCACAGCTGCCGCTATCCGAAGCAAGCCAGAAGTATTGCGTCATTGCCACGCATCGCGGTCTCTATGCATTCAACCGTCTGCCGTTTGGTGTTGCAAGTGCCCCGGCAATCTGGCAACAAACCATGGATCAGATCCTGCAAGGCATCCCTGGTGTGGTTTGTTTCTATGACGACATCCTCATCACCGGAGCAACCCCAGCCGAGCACGATGAACGCCTACGTCAAGTACTGGAGCGACTTGCCGAATTTGGTGTACGTCTACGTCTCGAGAAGTGTGTGCTCAGCGTTGACCAGGTCCGCTATCTCGGTTTCACTGTCTCAGGCGAAGGCATTCAAACCAATGGCGACAAGGTTGCTGCCATTGTCGACGCACCACCACCGAAAGACCAAACAGCTCTGCAGTCGTTCATCGGTCTAGTGATGTTCTACAGCCGTTTCGTGCCATCTATCTCAGATGTACTGCAACCGCTACGACAGCTTCTCGTGAAAGACGCACCCTGGGACTGGTCGTCTGAATGTCAAGAGTCATTCGAGAAGGTCAAGAATCTGATGGCTGATGCACCCATTCTTGCCCACTTTGACATCAACCGCAAAGTCATTGTCGAGTGTGACGCGTCTCCGTATGGCCTCGGTGCCTGTCTGCTGCAAGAAGATGATACTGGCAGCCGACGTCCTGTGTGCTTCGTGTCCCGAGCTTTGAGTTCTGCCGAATCGCACTACAGCCAGATCGAGCGTGAAGCTCTAGCAATTGTGTTCGCAGTGAAACGTCTTCACATGTATTTGTATGGTCGTCCGTTCGTACTCCGCACTGACCATAAGCCGCTGCTGCGTATCTTTGGACCGCACTCCGACATGCCAGCAACAGCCGTTTCCCGGTTACAGCGTTGGGCAGTAATTCTCAGTGAGTATGAGTACCAGATTGAGCATATCAGTGGCACCGCTAACGTCATCGCTGACTGCTTATCCCGCCTGCCATTGAAGCTGTCCGAGCAGCAAGAAGCAACCGTTGTGAACGCCGTTCTCCAGCATGCCCGTGATCCATGTGAGTCTCTACCTGTCTCTGCTGCTGATGTTGCTGCAGCCAGCAAAGACGATGCCATTATCTCGCGCATCATGCAGTACCTTCAGTTCGGTTGGCCCGCCGACACCCCCGACGATCTTCAAGCCTACCGCCGATGCCGCAACGAGCTGACGATTGAGTCTGGTTGTTTGGTGAGAGGCCATCGTACCGTAATCCCTGTGCAACTTCGCCGCGCGCTGCTGCAGGAGCTGCACAGTGTGCACCTTGGCATTGTGCGAATGAAGTCCGTCGCACGCAGTTTCTTCTGGTGGCCAGGCATTGATGATGACATCAAGCATCTAGCCACGTCATGCCGTCAGTGCCAAGACACCGCTAATGCTCCGCCCAAGGAAGCACCGCATCCCTGGATCTATCCCTCCGAGCCCTTTGAAAGAGTGCATGTCGACTTCGCCGAGCACGACGGCCAGCACTACTTTCTGCTTGTAGACGCCTATTCAAAATGGCTCAGCGTCTACAAGATGTCTTCTACGACAACCCACCAGACCCTGGAGTGCCTACTGTCGTTCTTATCTACGTACGGCATCCCGAAGACACTGGTCAGCGACAATGGTCCGCAGTTCACGTCGCACCTGTTCCGCCAATTCTGTTTGGAGAACGGAATCAGCCATAAGTGCACGCCGCCATACCATCCTGCGTCCAATGGACAAGTAGAACGTTGTGTCCAAGAGTTAAAGAAGGCGCTACGTACTCGCCCGGACAACGTGTCAGCCGGCACCCAGCTCCACCGTTTTGTGTTCGCGTACCGCAACACACCACATTCAACCACACAAGTCACGCCTGCAAGCTTGGTGTTCAAGAAATCCCCAAACGTCAAGTTCTCCCTGCTGAAGCCCAATTTCAGTAGTTCCCAGCGTCAGCGTCAGACTACAGCGTCATCAACGAAGAGAGACTATACTCCCGGTGATGCTGTAGCAGTACTCAACACTCGTAATGGCAATGGTCCAAAGTGGATTCACGGAACTATCGCCGAGCGGCTTGGTCCGCTATCGTACATCGTTCGTACCGGTGAACAGACGCGACATGTACATTCTGACCACCTTCGTATGGCAGAATCTGAGAGGGAAGAGGAGACTGAACAAATTGAAATGCAACCGCAACCGGCCGTTGAGTTCCGCCAGCCTTCTACCGTACCTGCACCAGTCAGTGCACCAGCAGAACACGCTCCCGCTGTACCAGCTGTCGAGCCAGCATTTGAGCCCGATGCAGACATCGAAGTAGCTCAACCCCTATCCACATCGTCTGAGGCTAAGCCAGCACAGTCGCCGCGCCGATCCTCCAGACAGCATCGTCCCCGTCAACGCTTGATTGAAGAATTGTGATGACACTAACAGTCCTGTCATGATTCTAGCACAGCTCATTCCGTTTTGTTAATTGTTCTGTGAGCTTTATCTTTACTGTGTTCCCTGTTGCAACGCAGTAGTTCTTTTTTGTTTTAGTATGAACAACATTCTATTCCTCACGGCGTTTCTTATCTAAAGGAGGAGGAGTGTTATGTTTGAATTAGGGGTGAAAGTTGGCACTGAGATCCCGAGTTCGAGTACTCTGATTTTCTCCGATCGAATATTCGAGTATTCGAGTATTCTTGATATCCTAAAAATCGCACGCCAACCGCCTCAAAAACACACGATACAACCCTGATTGAACCGATTGGAAGTTCTTTTCTCGGGTGTATTGGTTGGTGGGTCATTTGGGCTCTCTCTACTCGTGAACAAATGTTCACCACACAGTCGGCACATCAATACCCGCTGACTGCTGCTCTGAAACTGCAGACTTCTGTGGTAAATGTATGTACCATGTATGAGCGAGTACTCTGATTTATTCCGAGTACGATTATATTCGAAAAATCCAAACGAGTATTCGAATATTCGGTATAATTGTTTCACCCCTAGTTTGAATCCATAGTCTGTCTGTACATGATCTGTACGCCATACGCTGCTCTGTGTGTACTGCACATTATACATGCATGCCTTGTACACTGCCGTCAACTGCTTTGCCATGTGTACGTTATGCGTAGTGTTTGAAGTAGAGCGCGTAGTCTACTCTGTCAGCTATGTCAGTTATTCGTTTCCTGATTTCGAATAGTTCCTTGCTTGTCGTTCTGAAGTATAGTTGTAATATATTGTGCTCTTGCTCATGTAGTTCTCTGTCGATCATATTCTGGCGAATATAACAGTGCCCACATGCCAAACGTGCGCGCATACATGTACATGTATGATGTCACACGTGCATGTGATATGTCACACGTGATTTGTCGTGTGTAAGAAATATCTGCAATATGAATCAAATGTCGTTTTTCAAACACCCACGCTATAACCGATACCTACTGTACAACCAAAATACCATCATTCAATACACTTCACGTTTAACAAACATCTTGTACCCGGAGGAGGGTTTTTTGGATGGGGTCGGAGAGGAAGGAGCGCAGGTAGGATGGGGAGGGGCGGAGGAGAGGCACTATCTCTCGCTTACCTGGTTGGAAAGTGAAGACGGGAGATGTAGTAGATGTGACATTTTCCTTTCTCTTGTCACCAGCCACAGCAGCTGTTGAGTAAGTATATGTGAAGTTATACTGAATTGGACTACCACCTAACTCTTCAACAGGTACTTGCACTCTTGAATCATTTGTACTCTTCACTACCACAACTGTACGATTCATTACTGGATTCTTGAAGACAAACACAACTTCATCATACGAATCCATTAATGGTGCTGGTGGTGATGGTGGTTTTAAGATGTCGATAGTGTTATCACCCGTTGATTCATAGCTACGCCACACACCAGTAACTCCAGGGATACTCGGTGTGGTGCCAGTGTAGTTAAAGTCTAAGTTCACAGCACTGCTTGCTACTACCATTGATGATGAGTATGAAGGTGATAACTTATCATTGCCACTAGTACCACGGTCACTGGTGCTGTTGTTTCTCAGACCATCAATGACAGCAACATAGTAACCAAATGTCACATTCTCTAACAAAACTGGAAACTGCATAGCCAGTAAACCAGTGCCTTGTAGACCTGTTGGCAGCAATGATTGATTCTTTTCATTCCACATCAGAATGGAATAACGATATGATTGGATGTCATTACGTACATTAGCTGACACATCTTGAAGACCAGGCAGGGGAACGGCAAGATTCCCGAGAGTAGCTGTGCAAAACAAACAAGGAGAAATCGAAAATCGTCTGTTGTGAAATAGGTGTTAGTGTGTGTGGTGTGCGGTGGATATGGAGGTGGGGGTGGGGGCTGAAAGAGATGTAACATAAGTTATTCAAAGCTACGTTTGACACTGCATGAACAAACACGGTATACATATGTCGATTAAGCTCATCTTGTCGATTGAGGAGGGTTCAGAGATAGACATTGGATATTTAGGAAATCGTGAAATCTATAAGGCTAACTTTTTACCATAGACTATTACAAAATATTCTTTGACGCCCTATGTTCGGCTTTCATCATTTCCAGTACTCAAAGCAATGATATGGAAACAAGGTATTGGTACCGGATGGTATCACCCATGTTACTGCATAATAAAGGTGACTAACATTGACAACCAAAAACACATGCTATTTCCATAACTTCGTTGCTACTAGCTCCAGAACGAAAAATTATTCCAAAATCATTGGAAACTTTTGTAAAGTTCAGAGAGAATGAGAGAGTTTGTTGCTAGTAACACTTCGGCTTGCACATCACGAAGAGTTCATTTTCAGCAAGCGATGGAAAATGTTCTATCTGAAATCATCCAATCTAGTTTTGCATGCACCAATTTGAATGACAATGGCTCTCCAGGAATATACCATAACCCCAGTAACCCAAACGAGAGAGCTTGGAAGCTCAGGGCCCTACGCTATGCTTTAAGGCAAGCGAAAGCGAGGCAAACTGAACTCTCTGCTCATTCTGCCACTAGTTTATCTTGTAAAGACGCTCTACATGAGCTGAACTACCTTCATCCAGTGGTTTGCAGTCGATACAAACTGTTCTTGACCTGTTCTAAGCGTTTTCATATCCATCAAAAACCATCGCAAAGTTGTTGTTAACGGAGGAAGATTTTGTGGACCCTGGGTAGCTAGCGGCAGACGTTACTGCACTATCGCCCTGCATGCATTCGCCCGATACACTTCGCATACATATATGCCATGCCTATAGAGTCTCTCATTTCTTGGTGCTGACCGCTTTAATGCTATACATAATGCTACTGTACATATTCATTCTCTTGATGGTACGGTACGGGACAGATACTGGAGAGCGCCAGGCGTGGCAAAAAAAAAACACGAAATAAAAGCTGTGTGGACCATGGCTAGCGCTAGACGTTACTGAAGTAAGGTCTTCTGCATAACTACGGGAATTAAACCTAAGCTAAATGTGTCATGCCTTACCTGGTTGGAAAGTGAAGATGGGAGATGTAGTAGATGTGACATTTTCCTTTCTCTTGTCACCAGCCACAGCAGCTGTTGAGTAAGTATATGTGAAGTTATACTGAATTGGACTACCACCTAACTCTTCAACAGGTACTTGCACTCTTGAATCATTTGTACTCTTCACTACCACAACTGTACGATTCATTACTGGATTCTTGAAGACAAACACAACTTCATCATACGAATCCATTAATGGTGCTGGTGGTGATGGTGGTTTTAAGATGTCGATAGTGTTATCACCCATTGATTCATAGCTACGCCACACACCAGTAACTCCAGGGATACTTGGTGTGGTGCCAGTGTAGTTAAAGTCTAAGTTCACAGCACTGCTTGCTACAACCATTGATGATGAGTATGAAGGTGATAACTTATCATTGCCACTAGTACCATGGTAACTGGTGCTGTTGTTTCTCAGACCATCAATGACAGCAACATAGTAACCAAATGTCACATTCTCTAACAAAACTGGAAACTGCATAGCCAGTAAACCAGTGCCTTGTAGACCTGTTGGCAGCAATGACTGATTCTTTTCATTCCACATCAGAATGGAATAACGATATGATTGGATGTCATTACGTACATTAGCTGACACATCTTGAAGATCAGGCAGAGGAATGGCAAGTTTCCCGAGAGTTGCTATGCAAAATAAACAAGGAGAAATCGAAAATCGACGGTTGTGAAATAGGGCTCTAGACTTTTAGTATGTGTAGTGCGCGGTGGATGTGGAGACAGAGAGGGGGGGGGGGCTGAAAGAGATGTAACAACACTTATTTAGAGCTACGTTTGACACTGCACATATAAACATGGTATACGCATGTCGATTAAGCTCATCTTAGTGATTGCTGTTTTATTCAGAGATAGATAGTGGCTATTAAGGAAATTGCGAAATTGAAAAGGCTAACTTTCAAACCGTAGACTATAACAAAATATTCCTTGATGTCCGATGTTTGGCTTTCACCATCCTCAGGATGATATGGAAACAAGGTATTGCCACCGGGTGGTATTACCCATATTTAATACAGCATAATAAAAGTGACTAGCATTGACGACCAAAAACACATGCTATTTCCATAACTTCACTGCTACTAGCTCCCGAACGAACCATTATTCCAAAAATCCATGGAAACTTATGTAAAGTTCAGGAAGAATAAGAGAGATTGTTGCTAGCAACACTCAGGCTTGCACACGAAAAGTTCATTTTTGGCAAGCAATGGAAAATGCTCTATCTGAAATCATTCCATCTAGTCTGACATGCACCAATTTGAATGACAATGGCTCTCCTGGAAAATACCATAACCCCAGTAACCCAAATTAAACCTAAGCTAAACATGTCATGCCTTACCTGGTTGGAAAGTGAAGATGGGAGATGTAGTAGATGTGACATTTTCCTTTCTCTTGTCACCAGCCACAGCAGCTGTTGAGTAAGTATATGTGAAGTTATACTGAATTGGACTACCACCTAACTCTTCAACAGGTACTTGCACTCTTGAATCATTTGTACTCTTCACTACCACAACTGTACGATTCATTACTGGATTCTTGAAGACAAACACAACTTCATCATACGAATCCATTAATGGTGCTGGTGGTGATGGTGGTTTTAAGATGTCGATAGTGTTATCACCCGTTGATTGATAGCTACGCCACACACCAGTAACTCCAGGGATACTTGGTGTGGTGCCAGTGTAGTTAAAGTCTAAGTTCACAGCACTGCTTGCTACAACCATTGATGATGAGTATGAAGGTGATAACTTATCATTGCCACTAGTACCACGGTCACTGGTGCTGTTGTTTCTCAGACCATCAATGACAGCAACATAGTAACCAAATGTCACATTCTCTAACAAAACTGGAAACTGCTTAGCCAGCAAACTAGTGCCTTGTAGACCTGTTGGCAGCAATGACTGATTCTTTTCATTCCACATCAGAATGGAATAACGATATGATTGGATGTTATTACGTACATTAGCTGACACATCTTGAAGATCAGGCAGAGGAATGGCAAGTTTCCCGAGAGTTGCTGTGCAAAATAAACAAGGAGAAATCGAAAATCAACTGTTGTGAAATAGGGCTTTAGACGTTTAGTATGTGTAGTGTGCGGTGGATGTGGAGACAGAGAGGGGGGGGGGGGGGGACTGAAAAAGATGTAACAACACTTATTTAGAGCTACGTTTGACACTGCAAGTATAAACACGGTATACTCATGTCGATTAAGCTCATCTTAGTGATTGCTGTTGGTTGGTTGGTTGGATTTATTTAAAGTCGTACAACAAACAGGCGCAGCAGTGTAGATACGACAAAGTCAACGGGCAGTGACGGCGTACCTGCTCTTGTACTAGCAGCATGCTCTGACCTCTTAGCTCCATCAGTAACTCTCATCTTCAACAAGTCACTTTCCGAAGGGAGATTTCCACTATCCATGAAACTTGCAAATATCACCCCTGTGTACAAGAGCGGCGACCCTACTAAGGCCACCAATTTCAGGCCTGTTTCTCTGTTGCCTATTATCTCAAAGATCCTTGAGCGCATCGTACATTCGCAACTCACTGAATTCTTGACTACCCACAGCCTCTACCCAGATTGCCAGTTCGGATTCCGGAAACAGCACTCAACAGAGGATGCTGTTGTGATGGCATCAGAGGCCTTTGCCAATGCCAAAGACTCCGGACTCTCAACTTGCGCCGCCTTTGTTGACATGTCGAAGGCATTCGACAAGGTTCAACATGGCACCCTCATCCGCGACCTCTTCAGTATTGGTGTTGGTGGAAGTGCGCTGAATTGGCTGGCAGACTACTTAAGTGACCGGCAGCAAAGAGTTGTCATTGGGAACCAGCACAGCAAGGTATTCCAGCCCAGCAGTGGTGTGCCCCAGGGTTCCGTACTTGGTCCTCTGCTGTTTGTCCTCTATGTCCGTGGTGTCACAGCTGAAGTGCAACCGTATGGTGTGCGGACAGTTCAGTTCGCAGATGACATCATGCTCTATATTAGTAGCAGGGACAGACATCAGCTGGAACGCAGTATGTCTTCTGCAGTTACACACCTGGCCAGATGGCTTGCCAGCAGGAACCTGGTACTAAACGAGAGTAAAACCCAGATTTTGTTCATCCCTGCCCATCGTTCTGTGAATCCTCGTGTCAGCGTTATGTGCTCTGGAGTTCAACTGACACAAGTAGAATCCGCAAAGTATCTTGGTGTCCACATGGACCAAGATCTCAAGTGGACCACAATGGTCAACCAGATCGCCAAGCGAGCTGCCTGTAAAATAGCTGTCCTGTTTAGAAACAGGCGCTGCATGCCCCTCCCGTGCCGCATCACGTACCTGAAGTCCCTGATCCTTCCTTACTTCCTGTATGCTAGCAACTGTTTCTCTGCTGGCCTCACCTCACATCAGCTCGAGCGCCTAGAGCGGCTACTCAAGCGCGCAGTCCGCTGTGTTTACAACGCTCCATTTGCATCCCCATCTGCGCCGCTGTATTGCCAATTGCGATTGCACTCGCTAGAAGTTATGTACTGCCACAAGCTTCTTGGCTACACTTGGCGCTGCCTTCAGGGTAAATGCAGCACATTGCTTACCGATATGTTCAGTCCTCTTAATGCCGGCCGTGCTACACGTAGTCAGGGAAATCGAACACTTAAATTTCCAGTCACTAAGACATCCGCTGGCACACATTCTGCCTCATTCCAATGTGTATCACTGTGGAACAGGCTCCAGCCCGACATCAGGAAAATCCCACAGTACCACCGATTCATGCGATCCCTCCCAGCACATGCTGCTTTTCAGTAATGCCACTGCCCGCTGTATTATTATTTCCTTTACTGGCCTAACTGGCTTTTACAATGACGTAATACTTTACTACCCACTCTACTCAGTGTCATTACCTTCATTGGCCTTTTATAATTTATTCTCCTTTTTAGTCGATATCATGTAATTAGGCAAATTTGCCTGTTTGTTCTTCGACTCTAAATAAACAAACAAACAAAACAAACAGGCATATCTGCCTCCTTATATGCAGACGACTTCTGGCAGTGAAACATTTTAAAGAAAAGAGAAAGGAAAAAAAAAGAAGAAGAAAAAAGAGGAAGAAGAGAAGATCAAGAATGTATACTGAGCATACAGCTAGCCGGAGACTGAGCATACAGCTAGCCGGAGACTGAGCATACAGCTAGCCGGAGACTGAGCATACAGCTAGCCCGAGACTGAGCATACAGCTAGCCGGAGACTGAGCATACAGCTAGCCGGAGACTGAGCATACAGCTAGCCAGAGACTGAGCATACAGCTAGCCGGAGACTGAGCATACAGCTAGCCGGAGACGGAGCATACAGCTAGCCGGAGACTGAGCATACAGCTAGCCGGAGACTGAGCATACAGCTAGCCGGAGACTGAGCACAGCTCGCCTCGGCATGTATCAGAGCATCAGGATTACTACATACCACTAGTACTATACTCAAGATAGGGAAGGGGGGTTGCTGTCATGCTACAGTAAGACAATACGCGTGCTACACACCCTTTTTTATTCAGAGATAGATAGTGGCTATTTAGGAAATTGCGAAATTGAAAAGGCTAACTTTCAAACCGTAGACTATAACAAAATATTCCTTGATGTCCGATGTTTGGCTTTCACCATCCTCAGGACGATATGGAAACAAGGTATTGCCACCGGGTGGTATTACCCATATTTAATACGGCATAATAAAAGTGACTAGCATTGACGACCAAAAACACATGCTATTTCCATAACTTCACTGCTACAGTCAGACCTCGCATAACCGCACACATCCGTTTTTCACAAAAATATCCGGATAGGCGAGGGAACCGGATAATCGAACACACATACTGTATGTAAGCATGGCATATGCTGTACATTTGTAACCAACTATTTTCTTCCGGATGGCGAGGGATCCGGATAAACGAGGACCGGATAAGCGAGGTCTGACTGTACTAGCTCCAGAACGAACCATTAGTCCAAAAATCCATGGAAACTTATGTAAAGTTCAGGAAGAATAAGAGAGATTGTTGCTAGCAACACTCAGGCTTGCACACGAAAAGTTCATTTTCGGCAAGCAATGGAAAATGCTCTATCTGAAATCATTCCATCTAGTCTGGCACGCACCAATTTGAATGACAATGGCTCTCCTGGAAAATACCATAACCCCAGTAACCCAAATTAAACCTAAGCTAAACATGTCATGCCTTACCTGGTTGGAAAGTGAAGATGGGAGATGTAGTAGATGTGACATTTTCCTTTCTCTTGTCACCAGCCACAGCAGCTGTTGAGTAAGTATATGTGAAGTTATACTGAATTGGACTACCACCTAACTCTTCAACAGGTACTTGCACTCTTGAATCATTTGTACTCTTCACTACCACAACTGTACGATTCATTACTGGATTCTTGAAGACAAACACAACTTCATCATACGAATCCATTAATGGTGCTGGTGGTGATGGTGGTTTTAAGATGTCGATAGTGTTATCACCCGTTGATTCATAGCTACGCCACACACCAGTAACTCCAGGGATACTTGGTGTGGTGCCAGTGTAGTTAAAGTCTAAGTTCACAGCACTGCTTGCTACAACCATTGATGATGAGTATGAAGGTGATAACTTATCATTGCCACTAGTACCACGGTCACTGGTGCTGTTGTTTCTCAGACCATCAATGACAGCAACATAGTAACCAAATGTCACATTCTCTAACAAAACTGGAAACTGCATAGCCAGTAAACCAGTGCCTTGTAGACCTGTTGGCAGCAATGACTGATTCTTTTCATTCCACATCAGAATGGAATAACGATATGATTGGATGTCATTACGTACATTAGCTGACACATCTTTAAGATCAGGCAGAGGAACGGCAAGATTCCCGAAAGTTGCTGTGCAGAGGAAAAAAACGGAAATGATGTAATGTAAAGCTATACGCAGGACAGAGACCATTATTGAAAGTTGGGAAGTGAGAAATTCATCCAAAGTTAATCATGTGCGATCCCTGGATTGGAGTTTACGAATAGAAAATAATGATGTGGGAATATATAAGTTTCGTGGTGTTGGTGGTGTTGGTGGTGCTCGTGGTGGGGGTGCTTGCTGGTGGTGGCGATGCTTGCGGTGCCGGTGGTGGTGCTGGCGATGCTAGTGGCGGGGGTGGTGGTGCTGGCGATGCTAGTGGCGGGCATGGTGGTGCTGGCGATGCTAGTGGCGGGGGTGGTGGTGCTGGCGATGCTAGTGGCGGGGGTGGTGGTGCTGGCGGCTTGTGCTGGTGCTGGTAGTGTTGTTCGTGGTACACATTAATCATATTATTATGATAAATTCTGACAATGTTGAACATGGATGGTGAGCCAATATAATCATGATGAAGAAAGGAAAAGGACAAAATGTTACGAGTTATGGCAAACTGTCCACCAACGTAACCAGATCTTATACAGTCAGCGAGTGCGACAAAATGACACAAAACTGACAAGAGGTACTGAGACATTCGGCATTTTTTTGTTTTGTGCCATTTTGTCGCACTCGCTGACTGTATAAGATCTGGTAACGTTGGTGGACAGTTTGTCATAACTTGTAACATTTTATCCTTTTCCTTTCTTCATCATAATTCTGACAATGGTCACACTATAGTACTGTCTTTATGATCACATACCGGTAACAAAACTCCAGTTATTAGTGGCCAGGCGCGTGCTCGGCGATGGGCACGGGGGGCACGTGCACCCCCAAAAATTTTCAATCTGGGTAATTGCAATTGTAATGATGCAAATATGCTCTAAAATTCAAGAAAGGTTGCAAACAAATTGCAGAAAATTGCCGGAGGGGGGGGGGGGGCTCCCGTGCACCCCCCCTAGTTGGGGGGCCGAGCACGCCCCTGGTGGCGATAGATAAGCGACAATTGCGATAAGCCGGACTAAGTAGAGAGAGATGTGGGTGGGAGGGGGGTGCGGGGGTGGGGAACAGAGACATAGAGAGACAGAGGAGCAAACAGGCAGGCAGAAAATGTCCGGATGTAAGCAAGATTGAGAGAGAAAGAGGTAGAAAATGAGAAATAGATAATTGGCTAAGGGTCAACACACATAACCAATTCATTGACAATTAGTCAGTAAGCAGCATACCTGTACATTGAATCCCATTTCCACTGTATCCAGTATTACATGTGCATTGGAAGCTACCAGCATTGTTACTACACCTAGCATTGGCATTGCATCCATGACTCTTACCACTGGCACATTCGTCAATATCATTGCAAGTTGTGCCGTTTCCTGTGTATCCACTATTGCACATACATGTGTATGAACCATCAGTGTCTTGGCACTGTGCATTGGTATTACATGTGTGAGTCCCATCACTGCATTCATTGATATCCTTGCACGTTGTGCCATTTCCTGTGTAACCACTAATACACATACATGTGTATGAACCATCAGTGTCTGTACATGAAGCCGCTGAGTGGCAGTCGTTGTTTTGTGCACTGGCACATTCATTGATATCATTGCAAGTTGTGCCATTTCCGGTGTATCCACTTTTACACATACATGTGTATGAACCATCAATGTCTTGGCACTGTGCATTGGTATTACAGCTGTGAATCCCATCACTGCATTCGTCAATATCTGCAGAAAACACGATAAACAAGACGAGGAATGGTGACTGTCGTCGGTGTGTGTAGCGTCACGGCGCAGGTATCCTAGTAAAAGTAACTGGCACTACCAGAGCTTGAGAACTTTGCTATGCAATGCTCTGACCACTGATTATAGTCATCATCCAAGCACACATGTTGGACATGAGCAGTCACCGGAAACCAACATTCACTTGGCCACTGCGCACCATTCTACAGTCGAAATCTGTCTCGTAAAGAAGCCTGTTTTGAATACAAGCCTGATGTTGAAGATGCACTGTTGGCACATACGCCTGGTTTTAGTACTGTTATACATAAAATACCTACCTCGTATAGAATGCCTGTCTGGCATAGAAGACTAGTAGTGACTTTGGTCTCTTCGGCAATAAGTCCGCCTCACTTTACACACATTACAGTAAGAACACATTCATGATGATTCGCGGTTTGCGTGAGTCCCGGTCAATCTGTTTGTTCCGAAGCCGTGGGAACACCACCACCCTCTCACTTTTAAACAACCTGACACAATGCTATAATGGAGACTGTCTTCCTACATGGAGGCAAAGAAAGAAGCAATATTCAGAAAACGAAGGAGAAAAGGCTTACGCAACAAATCGTGGTTTCTTTGCCCCCTCGTACCATATCTTTTTCTCCTTCCGCAGCCGTCGCTAGGCTGGCGTTTCGAAAACGGGATTGCCAAAGTGGTCCACCTCAGCAACTGAGGTTATGAGCGAGTTCTTCCATATTTCATGCTTCCTCCCTATCGCTATTGGAAATTTCACATAGCGGTAACAAAACTCCAGGTCTTAGTGGCGATAGATAAGCAACAATTGCAATAAGCCGGACCAAGTACTCTATTGATCGTAACTCAGTTAACCCTTTACCATCCGACCAAATTTCCCCAGCAGTCCCAAATGTAATAATTCTCACCTTATTCTGAGAATATCTTCGGTTCTAATAACCAATTTTCACAATCTTGGGCATTCTGGAATGCTCTCCACGAGCTGCGTACATTGAGCTCGAACAGGACACTACCGAGATCACATATCCAGCGCCAGGGAGCTTCAAATACACCCCATCGCTGGATATACGAGGAAATTCTCTCCTCGCCAGCCATTTCTCGCTCCTTCATCGTAGACATTCCAAATTTTTTGCTTGAGTTTCTTTTCATGCTGTTCACGCGCTCAAAGCATGCCAAAGTGACTCAGCATGTCAGGAGAGGGAAAAATCCCCGCTCAAGGTCAGTCACTCGGAAAGAAATTCGACTTTTGCCGTAGCTGAAATGTCGAGCATAATATCTTTGGAAGGCGACATCGCAGCTCTTTACCGATTGATGCAATGGAAAGCTGGGCTCTTCGGCTTCTTCCTAGATACTTAGTTCTTTAAATTCCGCCAAGAAGCGATCGAGTTACGAATGTTTTAGTGTATTCAAGCACGCACGGATGGTAAAGGGTTAAGTCTCAACCATTTTCCATATACGTCGACTTCAATGAGAGTTTTGTAGCTGCCTTTGCCTTTCCTGTATACGAAACATGAGGCACTCCGTCCAACATCTGAGAGGTTTCATCCAAAAGCAGACTACGATTTTTTTGGGAAATGCACCAACACTTTTGGTTGCAAGGTGTAATTCTAAACGTTTGGGTGACAGTTTCCCGTCTGGACGTGTACTAGGCTTAGTGTTCCCGTGGGCAAAGCCTATCCTGGAAACAATGTGGTGCATGTACTTATCACCATACATTTCTTTCTCCATCCAACGTGCATGCTTGGAAATCCAACCATAGAACCTGGGTGCCCATGCATCTACTTGGTCCGGCTCATCGCAATTGTCGCTTATCTCCCACGCACTTTGTTACAGGCAAAGCCCAGTCCAATCGCGATATCTAACTTACTTTTGCTTGTGAGGTTGTGATGGCAAGATCAAAGGCGGCACAAGAGAAAACTGATCGCGACTAGCGATTTGAATCGCGATGTGTTCGACATTTTTGGGAAGTGGAAATCTGGCCATTCACTGTCTATGTTGCCAAAAAGCCAAGCTCCGCGACCCGAAGACCGGAACTGTAGCAGGGCCAACTGACATACTGGAGTGCGTGACAGGCACGCGTGCACAGCAGAGGAGTGCAAGCGTCATGCTGAAGAATAAAGGTGTTTTCGATGCGATGCGAGGGACGTTTTGGTTGTCCCTTCTTAGACCTGGCAGCGGCATTACACGAGTCGCGGTACGCGCATCCAGCGGAGAGTACGACAGCTGTCTGGAGAGGCATGTATGCCTCATTCGAAGGCTTTGTTGAAACACACTGTGGTGACACACAGTGTGGTCACGCTGCCCACGGTTCCTACAAACACCCAAGTGATAGCCAAAACTGTTCCTTTCCCATTGCTGCCATACGACAGTCTGAGAAAGCAAGAGATACTCTTCGCCACCAGCTAGACACCGGCAAATGTCAGCTCAAGTAACGGCAGCTCTCGAGTGATGCAGAGTTGAATGAACTCTGGACCTGTGAAAGCGTGAGTGCAAGAACGCGCTTCCTCGCTGATTTATTCTGTACATTTGCTTGTAACCTTGCTTCCCGTCTTCGATTCGCTTCACCAGATTCCATTGCTGAGCTTTGTTTCTTGTGGCGGAGAGTATTCATGTATCATGCTTCCTCACTATGGCTATTGGAAATTTCACATAGCGGTAACAAAACTCCAGTTTTTAGTGGCCAGGCGCGTGCTCGGCGATGGGCACGGGGGGCACGTGCACCCCCAAAAATTTTCAATCTCGGTTATTGCAATTGTAATGATGCAAATATGCTCTAAAAGTCAAGAAAGGTTGCAAACAAATTGCAGAAAATTGCCGGGGGGGGGCTCCCGTGCACCCCCCTAGTTGGGGGGGGCCAAGCACGCCCCTGGTGGCGATAGATAAGCGACAATTGCGATAAGCCGGACTAAGTAGAGAGAGATGTGGGTGGGGGGGGGGGGGTGGGGAACAGAGACATAGAGAGACAGAGGAGCAAACAGGCAGGCAGAAAATGTCCGGATGTAAGCAAGATTGAGAGAGAAAGAGGTAGAAAATGAGAAATAGATAATTGGCTAAGGGTCAACACACATAACCAATTCATTGACAATTAGTCAGTAAGCAGCATACCTGTACATTGAATCCCATTTCCACTGTATCCAGTATTACATGTGCATTGGAAGCTACCAGCATTGTTACTACACCCAGCATTGGCATTGCAGCCATGACTCATACCACTGGCACATTCGTCAATATCATTGCAAGTTGTGCCGTTTCCTGTGTATCCACTATTGCACATACATGTATATGAACCATCAGTGTCTTGGCACTGTGCATTGGTATTACATGTGTGAGTCCCATCACTGCATTCATTGATATCCTTGCACGTTGTGCCATTTCCTGTGTAACCACTAATACACATACATGTGTATGAACCATCAGTGTCTATACATGAAGCCGCTGAGTGGCAGTCGTTGTTTTGTGCACTGGCACATTCATTGATATCATTGCAAGTTGTGCCATTTCCGGTGTATCCACTTTTACACATACATGTGTATGAACCATCAATGTCTTGGCACTGTGCATTGGTATTACAGCTGTGAATCCCATCACTACATTCGTCAATATCTGCAGAAAACACGATAAACAAGACGAGGAATGGTGACTGTGGTCGGTGTGTGTAGCGTCACGGCGCAGGTATCCTAGTAAAAGTAACTGGCACTACCAGAGCTTGAGAACTTCGCTATGCAATGCTCTGACCACTGATTATAGTCATCATCCAAGCACACATGTTGGACATGAGCAGTCACCGGAAACCAACATTCACTTGGCCACTGCGCACCATTCTACAGTTGAAACCTGTCTCGTAAAGAAGCCTGTTTTGAATACAAGCCTGATGTTGAAGATGCACTGTTGGCACATACGCCTGGTTTTAGTACTGTTATACATAAAATACCTACCTCGTATAGAATGCCTGTCTGGCATAGAAGACTAGTAGTGACTTTGGTCTCTTCGGCAATAAGTCCGCCTCACTTTACACACATTACAGTAAGAACACATTCATGATGATTCGCGGTTTGCGTGAGTCCCGGTCAATCTGTTTGTTCCGAAGCCGTGGGAACACCACCACCCTCTCACTTTTAAGCAACCTGACACATAAATGCTATAATGGAGACTGTCTTCCTACATGGAGGAGACTCGTTCTTGAATTATTCAAGTTTCTTCGACTTCTCTTTTCTTCTTCTCCGAGAAGCTAGTGAGTGCAAGAACGCGCTTCCTCGCTGATTTATTTTGTACATTTTCTTGTAACCCTGCTTCCCGTCTTCGACTCGCTTCACCAGATTCCATTGCTGAACTTTGTTTCTTGTGGCGGAGAGTATTCATGCATCATGCTTCCTCACTATGGCTATTGGAAATTTCACATAGCAGTAACAAAACTCCAGTTCTTAGTGGCGATAGATAAGCAACAATTGCAATAAGCCGGACCAAGTACTCTATTGAACGTAACTCAGTTAAGTCTCAACCATTTTCCATATACGTCGACTTCAATGAGAGTTTTGTAGTTGCCTTTGCCTTTCCTGTATACGAAACATGAGGCACTCCGTCGAACATCTGACAGGTTTCATCCAAAAGCAAACTACGATTTTTTTGGGAAATGCACCAACACTTTTGGTTGCAAGGTGTAATTCTAAACGTTTGCGTGACGGTTTCCCGTCTGGACGTGTACTAGGCTTAGTGTGAGGCCGACCGGCATGTTTCTGCGTTATGCTGATGGATGGACCCATGTTGTAGCTAGGAGGCTGACCACCAGTTCTACGCCACCCAACAGTCCTGTATGCCTTTTCCCGGAGGACGTGATGATAGAAGCATAACTCAATCCTACCTGCACAATGTGTGCCGTTTCCAGTATATCCACCTATACATACACAGTGGAATGTTCCATTGGAGTTATTGCACATTGCTAGACTGTGGCAGTTGTGAAGATTTCCGTTTGAATCCTTGCACTCATCCACATCTACGCAACAACAACAACAACAACAACAACAACAACAACAACAACAACAACAACAACAACAACAACAACAACAACAACAACAACAAGAAAACCAAGCATGCCGGTCTTTGGCTGAGGCTGTCATCAAGCCATCTCTCTGCTGTATCAACAAAACCTCATTATAAAGTACTTCCTACCCGTCATTACAAGTGTCGCTTTGCACATCGCAATGTTTGTGACTTGCTTGTCTTAGTGCGACTGTCAACAAACAGCCGATAATGTCCCAGCTCTACCCAGATAGAAATACCCAAACCTGTTAGCCCCTGTCTGTTGCAGCCTTGATTTTAAGGTTGGACGGAAGGAGAATTTCAAAGTATTGGGGCATACGGCAGCGTGTTCACTGGACCGAACCAAGGATATTGTTATTTGGATATGTTAAACAGCATTCTTTAAAAATCTATAAAAGGAGTCTTATCGATATCAAGAGTACATAACTCCCAAGAGTATGCGGCGTTGGACGGAAGGAGAATTTCAAAGTATTGGGGCATACGGCAGCGTGTTCACTGGTCCGAACCAAGGATATTGTTATTTGGATATGATAAACAGCATTCTTTAAAAATCTATAAAAGTAGTCTTATCGATATCAAGAGTACATGACTCCCAAGAGTATGCGACTGCCTGCAAAAAGGAATCAGTGCAGAAACAGCACGTGCCATGGTTGAAAGAGTAATAACGCTGGCAAACAGTGCAAAGTGACCACAAGAGGGTTTGAAGTTTGAACACAAAGCCCACGAGCTGGTATCATGCACACGGTGCAATGATGCGAACGGGTTTGTCACGTGATGTGAATTTCTGCCATCGCAGACCCCATGGCTGGAGTTGCACACTCTTGGGGGTGATGTACTCTTGGCGATATGTATTATATACCTTGGCACAAAGGTGCTGTTCCACTCAAGCTTCCGCCAGCACCGCATGACAATGTTGCATTTCCAACAAGATTAAAACCAACAGAACAGGTAAACGTTTGAGTTTCTCCATAGTTGATATTGGGACTCTTGCTGCTTGTACCACCATGTGCAGGAGCACCCACAGGTTTGCAATGTACCTCTGAGCAGAATATAAAAAAGTAACAAAATATACCAAACACACAACCATGATATTATGGCCAAACTGAAAATGCCTACTGAAAAGTGAGAAACTTTCACTAGAGATTAAATTTCGCTATTTCCGGGACCATCACACATTGGCGAATATAAATTGCCGCAAACTGCTCTGTACATTCGTTGTAGACAGCAACAGATCCCAATGAAGAGGTAAAATCGCCGAAGTTTCTCACCGTGAACCAGCCCACTTCATGAAATGTAAACTTTGCGCGCCGCAAAGTTTATCGGTTTAAAGAAACTGAAAAGGCCGACCTGAAACATGATAGGGACACTTTTGGCGATGCTAGGGGCGTTCCTGTGGTGCTGTATGAGCTTGAAGCACGTGGAAGATGAGCAGGGGGATAATAATAATAATAAACACAGCTCGCATCTTCCCTGAACCTGTTAGACAGGAGCAGAGTCGACGCATCTGTCAACAGTGTCAAGCCAAGTTAGTCTATCTCCTGCAGCTTGGAGAGCGCTCTCCACGGAGAGATCCGCTGCCTTCAGGTCGTGCCGAATCGTATCTATCCACCGCAATGGCGGACGGCCACGGGGTTTTTTTATGTCGTTTGTGTTGATTGATAGCTCCAGTGCTTGGAACGAGGCGGATTCCGGACCCTCTCGCACCACATGGCCAAACCACAGCAGCCTGCGTCGCCGACATGTGGCACTAACTGGAGATTGTTTTGTTTCTGTGTATAAGTTGTTATTGGTGATGCGTTGCGGGTAGACAATCTGCAGCAGTACGCGTAGCTTCCTCCGTTGCCATTTGTCCAGTTTGTCGTTCAGCAATTTGGACAGAGTCCACAATCCGCAATTGTATAGAAGGATCGGCATTATGAGGCAGTTAAACATACACAGTCGGGATTGAAAGGAATGCCGTCTCCAAGAAATCGAACCAAACGCCCTGTTTGCTTTTGAGATTCTCATGTCCACGTCTTCTGCAGAGCCCAATAGAGAACCCAGGAGTTTGATTGATCTCCATTCGTTGCTGTTTCTTGTAACATCAACATATTCAGTTTTCTGTGTATTGAGCTTGAGGTTGTCTTCGTTAAATATAGGTTCACACTCAGCAACAAGAGCCTTCGCCTCATCGTCATTTCGGTTATGCAGAGTAGTATCGTCAGCGTACTGCGTTGTTGGAGCAGGCATTGGTGAGCGAATTGTGCATCTTTCCCTGATCTTGCGCATTGTGCCTTCTGCATATGTTATGAACATAATAGGGGACATCGGGTCTCCCTGGACCACTCCGATGTTAGTTGGGAAAGGGGGACTCAGGGAGCCACTCAGCTTGATCCTGGCTGTCGTGTTGGAAAGTAGAGACTTGATGGTTGTTGTGCTGATATCTGCTTCCTCTAACCTGTCAAGTGCTGTGGTGCGAATTATAGTGTCAAAAGCACCAGAGAAATCTAGAAGGGTGACGGAATATGTCCAGTTGCCAAGCAAGGCCCGCTCACACAGCGACCTTGTGTAAAATACACCATCAGCGGTTGAGCGACCTGGACGAAATCCAGCCTGGGTTTCAGAGACATAAACGGTGATGTCATCCGTGCTACGTTTAGTAATAACTGACGTCAGCACCTTTCTCACTACAGAGAGTAACATGATGGGGCGATAACTTTTCGGTTTTCCGAGTGGCTTGCCTGGTTTGTATACAGGTACTACCAATCCACTGCGCATATCGTCAGGGCAATAACCAACACTCTGTATTGCATTGAAGAAAGAGGCTAGCCAAGGACTGAGGAGGTCCTTAGCAGCTCGTAGCATTTCCGCACTGACTCCATCGGGTCCCACGGCGCCTCCTTTTTTTTGTTTACTGATTGCTGAAGTGACTTCTTGGGTGGTAAACGGCAATTCCTCATCATTGATATCTTGCGAGCCACGGAAATCACAGGGTAGGTCAGGGCGATGAAATATTGACTGGAAGTATTTACTAAATGTGTCGAGATTCCATTGAATGCTTGTCATGATATTGCCATCATCGTCTGCCAGCCGAACAGGAGGAGTGTTGGTGTTCGACTTCATTTGGCGCAGATTCCGGATTGCATTGTAATAGGAGCGTGGGTCAGGTCGTAAAGCATCAGTAGCTTCTGCCTGCCTTTGCCAGAAGTCGTCTCCATCCTGCCTCAGTATTTTTCTGATTTTGTGCTGAATACTGTTGCGCTCTTCTTTTAGAACTTTTCTTCTGGCAGGATCTGGCTCAGCATGGATGCGTATGTGGAGATCTTTTTGGTCTTGGGATAATTGTTTTATAGTTGGATTTGTGCTCCGAGTTGGCTTAGCACGCCGAGGCTGAATACCAAAAGACGTACAGCAGGGGGATAAGATCTTTTAATTAAGTGAGCCATAAATTGTGAAAATTCATTGACCAACAAAAAAGAAGAAAGGAAAAGGACAAAATGTTACGAGTTATGACAAACTCGAGTTCAAACCAACAAAAATGTTGAGACAATTTTGATATTGCTGTCTGCACAGTTCTACTGATGCACTGGGTTGCAGTGCTCACACGCTATAAATGCACTGGGACCCTGGAAGGGATAAAGAGCTAGAAGAGTGGCCCAAATACGTTTGAATTCTTCATCACCCATTTCTTTTCTATAAATTCTTCATTACCCATGTCTTTTCATTTAGATGCTTTGGATCACGGTGAAAAAGTCCACTACACAAGCAAACAAGCTAAAGACTCCCTGCCAGTCTTTTTTCTTCGCAAAATAGAATCTTGCGGCAAAAGATGGAAAAATGCGAATACTTACGGCTGCAAACACGTCCATTGCCAGTAAAACCAGTTTTACATGCACATTGATGCGAACCAATAGTATCAGTGCATGTTGCATTCCCATCACAATCATTTCTTGTCGCGTTGCATTCATCAAAGTTAGAACAGGTCTTGCCATCACCAACATAACCATGGTGACAGCTGCATGTAAAAGATCCCTTGCTGTTGGTGCAGTTGGCGTTACTATCACACTCATGAATGCCAGTACACTCGTTCACATCAGAGCAGTTCTGCCCACTGCCGGTATAACCAGTTTTGCAGACACAAACAAAACTACCAGCATTGTTCACGCACTCAGAGTCATTGTGACAATTGTGCTTGCTAGTTGAACACTCATTCCTATCTGCACAGCTGGACCCATTACCATAGTAACCAGTATTACATGTGCATGCATATGATCCGAGCGAGTCTGTACAATTTGCATTGTCACTGCACATGTGACTACCATCACTGCATTCATTCATGTTTGTACAATTGTGTCCATCGCCACCATAACCATTTAGACATGTACATTGGAAACTACCATCCATATTCATGCATGCAGCTTTGTCACTGCAATTATGAGTTCCAGAACTACATTCGTCGATATCTGCAAACGAGTAGAAGAATAAAATGTTGGTGTCGCTAATCTCACAAACATAGCAGCGCACATTTAGACCAACAACATGCTAGCTGTGGAAAGAAACGGAATCAAAGCATACTCGATATGCTGAAATCTTTGGTGGGCAAAGCCTATCCTGGAAACAATGTGGTGCATGTACTTATCACCATACATTTCTTTCTCAATCCAACGTGCATGCTTAGAAATCCAAGCATAGAACTTGGGCGGCCATGCATCTACTTGGTCCGGCTCATCACAATTGTCACTTATCTCCCACGCACTTTGTTACAGGCAAAGCCCAGTCCAATCGCGATATCTAACTTACTTTTGCTTGTGAGGTTGTGATGGCAAGATCAAAGGCGGCACAAGAGAAAACTGATCGCGACTAGCGATTTGAATCGCGATGTGTTCGACATTTTTGGGAAGTGGAAATCTGGCCATTCACTGTCTATGTTGCCAAAAAGCCAAGCCCCGCGACCCGAAGACCGGAACTGTAGCAGGGCCAACTGACATACTGGAGTGCGTGACAGGCACGCGTGCACAGCAGAGGAGTGCAAGCGTCATGCTGAAGAATAAAGATGTTTTCGATGCGATGCGAGGGACGTTTTGGTTGTCCCTTCTTAGACCTGGCAGCGGCATTACACAAGTCGCGGTACGCGCATCCAGCGGAGAGTACGACAGCTGTCTGGAGAGGCATGTATGCCTCATTCGAAGGCTTTGTTGAAACACACTGTGGTGACACACAGGTCACACTGCCCACGGTTCCTACAAGCACCGAAGTGATAGCCCAAACTGTTCCTTTCCAATTGCTGCCATACGACAGTCTGAGAAAGCAAGAGATACTCTTCGCCAGCAGCTAGACACCGGCAAATGTCAGCTCAAGTAACGGCGGCTCTCGAGTAATGCAGAGTTGAATGAACTCTGGACCTGTGAAAGCGTGAGTGCAAGAACGCACTTCCTCGCTGATTTATTCTGTACATTTGCTTGTAACCTTGCTTCCTGTCTTCGACTCGCTTCACGAGATTCCATTGCTGAACTTTGTTTCTTGTGGCGGAGAGTATTCATGTATCATGCTTTCTCACTATGGCTATTGGAAATTTCACATAGCGGTAACAAAACTCCAGTTATTAGTGGCCAGGCGCGTGCTCGGCGATGGGCACGGGGGGCACGTGCACCCCCAAAAATTTTCAATCTGGGTAATTGCAATTGTAATGATGCAAATATGCTCTAAAATTCAAGAGAGGTTGCAAACATATTGCAGAAAATTGCCGGGGGGGGGGGGTGGGACGGCTCCCGTGTACCCCCCTAGTTGGGGGGCCGAGCACGCCCCTGGTGGCGATAGATAAGCGACAATTGCGATAAGCCGGACTAAGTAGAGAGAGATGTGGGTGGGAGGGGGGTGCGGGGGTGGGGAACAGAGACATAGAGAGACAGAGGAGCAAACAGGCAGGCAGAAAATGTCCGGATGTAAGCAAGATTGAGAGAGAAAGAGGTAGAAAATGAGAAATAGATAATTGGCTAAGGGTCAACACACATAACCAATTCATTGACAATTAGTCAGTAAGCAGCATACCTGTACATTGATCCCCATTTCCACTGTATCCAGTATTACATGTGCATTGGAAGCTACCAGCATTGTTACTACACCCAGCATTGGCATTGCAGCCATGACTCATACCACTGGCACATTCGTCAATATCATTGCAAGTTGTGCCGTTTCCTGTGTATCCACTATTGCACATACATGTGTATGAACCATCAGTGTCTTGGCACTGTGCATTGGTATTACATGTGTGAGTCCCATCACTGCATTCTTTGATATCCTTGCACGTTGTGCCATTTCCTGTGTAACCACTATTGCACATACATGTATATGAACCATCAGTGTCTGTACATGAAGCCGATGAGTGGCAGTCGTGGTTTTGTGCACTGGCACATTCATTGATATCATTGCAAGTTGTGCCATTTCCGGTGTATCCACTTTTACACATACATGTGTATGAACCATCAATGTCTTGGCACTGTGCATTGGTATTACAGCTGTGACTTCCATCACTGCATTCGTCAATATCTGCAGAAAACACGATAAACAAGACGAGGAATGGTGACTGTGGTCGGTGTGTGTAGCGTCACGGCGCAGGTATCCTAGTAAAAGTAACTGGCACTACCAGAGCTTGAGAACTTTGCTATGCAATGCTCTGACCACTGATTATAGTCATCATCCAAGCACACATGTTGGACATGAGCAGTCACCGGAAACCAACATTCACTTGGCCACTGCGCACCATTCTACAGTCGAAATCTGTCTCGTAAAGAAGCCTGTTTTGAATACAAGCCTGATGTTGAAGATGCACTGTTGGCACATACGCCTGGTTTTAGTACTGTTATACATAAAATACCTACCTCGTATAGAATGCCTGTCTGGCATAGAAGACTAGTAGTGACTTTGGTCTCTTCGGCAATAAGTCCGCCTCACTTTACACACATTACAGTAAGAACACATTCATGATGATTCGCGGTTTGCGTGAGTCCCGGTCAATCTGTTTGTTCCGAAGCCGTGGGAACACCACCCCCCTCTCACTTTTAAACAACCTGACACATAAATGCTATAATGGAGACTGTCTTCCTACATGGAGGAGACTCGTTCTTGAATTATTCAATTTTCTTCGACTTCTCTTTTCTTCTTCTCCGAGAAGCTAGTGAGTGCAAGAACGCGCTTCCTCGCTGATTTATTTTGTACATTTTCTTGTAACCCTGCTTCCCGTCTTCGACTCGCTTCACCAGATTCCATTGCTGAACTTTGTTTCTTGTGGCCGAGAGTATTCATGTATCATGCTTCCTCACTATGGCTATTGGAAATTTCACATAGCGGTAACAAAATTCCAGTTATTAGTGGCCAGGCGCGTGCTCGGCGATGGGCACGGGGGGCACGTGCACCCCCAAAAATTTTCAATCTGGGTAATTGCAATTGTAATGATGCAAATATGCTCTAAAATTCAAGAGAGGTTGCAAACATATTGCAGAAAATTGCCGGGGGGGGGGGGGGGGCTCCCGTGCACCCCCCTAGTTGGGGGGCCGAGCACGCCCCTGGTGGCGATAGATAAGCGACAATTGCGATAAGCCGGACTAAGTAGAGAGAGATGTGGGTGGGAGGGGGGGGGGGGTTGGGGAACAGAGACATAGAAAGACAGAGGAGCAAACAGGCAGGCAGAAAATGTCCGGATGTAAGCAAGATTGAGAGAGAAAGAGGTAGAAAATGAGAAATAGATAATTGGCTAAGGGTCAACACACATAACCAATTCATTGACAATTAGTCAGTAAGCAGCATACCTGTACATTGAATCCCATTCCCACTGTATCCAGTATTACATGTGCATTGGAAGCTACCAGCATTGTTACTACAATTAGCATTGGCACTGCATCCATGACTCATGCCACTGGCACATTCGTCAATATCATTGCAAGTTGTGCCGTTTCCTGTGTATCCACTATTGCACATACATGTATATGAACCATCAGTGTCTTGGCACTGTGCATTGGTATTACATGTGTGAGTCCCATCACTGCATTCATTGATATCCTTGCACGTTGTGCCATTTCCTGTGTAACCACTATTGCACATACATGTATATGAACCAGTTGTGTCTGTACATGAAGCCGCTGAGTGGCAGTCGTTGTTTTGTGCACTGGCACATTCATTGATATCATTGCAAGTTGGGCCATTTCCGGTGTATCCACTTTTACACATACATGTGTATGAACCATCAATGTCTTGGCACTGTGCATTGGTATTACAGCTGTGAATCCCATCACTGCATTCGTCAATATCTGCAGAAAACACGATAAACAAGACGAGGAATGGTGACTGTCGTCGGTGTGTGTAGCGTCACGGCGCAGGTATCCTAGTAAAAGTAACTGGCACTACCAGAGCTTGAGAACTTTGCTATGCAATGCTCTGACCACTGATTATAGTCATCATCCAAGCACACATGTTGGACATGAGCAGTCACCGGAAACCAACATTCACTTGGCCACTGCGCACCATTCTACAGTTGAAACCTGTCTCGTAAAGAAGCCGGTTTTGAATACAAGCCTGATGTTGAAGATGCACTGTTGGCACATAAGCCTGGTTTTAGTACTGTTATACATAAAATACCTACCTCGTATAGAATGCCTGTCTGGCATAGAAGACTAGTACTGACTTTGGTCTCTTCGGCAATAAGTCCGCCTCACTTTACACACATTACAGTAAGAACACATTCATGATGATTCGCGGTTTGCGTGAGTCCCGGTCAATCTGTTTGTTCCGAAGCCGTGGGAACACCACCCCCCTCTCACTTTTAAACAACCTGACACATAAATGCTATAATGGAGACTGTCTTCCTACATGGAGGAGACTCGTTCTTGAATTATTCAAGTTTCTTCGACTTCTCTTTTCTTCTTCTCCGAGAAGCTAGTGAGTGCAAGAACGCGCTTCCTCGCTGATTTATTTTGTACATTTTCTTGTAACCCTGCTTCCCGTCTTCGACTCGCTTCACCAGATTCCATTGCTGAACTTTGTTTCTTGTGGCCGAGAGTATTCATGTATCATGCTTCCTCACTATGGCTATTGGAAATTTCACATAGCGGTAACAAAATTCCAGTTATTAGTGGCCAGGCGCGTGCTCGGCGATGGGCACGGGGGGCACGTGCACCCCCAAAAATTTTCAATCTGGGTAATTGCAATTGTAATGATGCAAATATGCTCTAAAATTCAAGAGAGGTTGCAAACATATTGCAGAAAATTGCCGGGGGGGGGCTCCCGTGCACCCCCCTAGTTGGGGGGCCGAGCACGCCCCTGGTGGCGATAGATAAGCGACAATTGCGATAAGCCGGACTAAGTAGAGAGAGATGTGGGTGGGAGGGGGGGGGTGGGGAACAGAGACATAGAGAGACAGAGGAGCAAACAGGCAGGCAGAAAATGTCCGGATGTAAGCAAGATTGAGAGAGAAAGAGGTAGAAAATGAGAAATAGATAATTGGCTAAGGGTCAACACACATAACCAATTCATTGACAATTAGTCAGTAAGCAGCATACCTGTACATTGAATCCCATTTCCACTGTATCCAGTATTACATGTGCATTGGAAGCTACCAGCATTGTTACTACACCCAGCATTGGCATTGCAGCCATGACTCATACCACTGGCACATTCGTCAATATCATTGCAAGTTGTGCCGTTTCCTGTGTATCCACTATTGCACATACATGTGTATGAACCATCAGTGTCTTGGCACTGTGCATTGGTATTACATGTGTGACTTCCATCAATACATTCATTGATATCATTGCAAATTGTGCCATCTCCGGTGTATCCACTATTGCACATACATGTGTATGAACCATCAATGTCTTGGCACTGTGCATTTGTATTACAGCTGTGAATCCCATCACCACATTCGTCAATATCTGCAGAAAACACGATAAACAAAACGAGGAATGGTGACTGTCGTCGGTGTGTGTAGCGTCACGGCGCAGGTATCCTAGTAAAAGTAGCTGGCACTACCAGAGCTTGAGAACTTCGCTATGCAATGCTCTGACCACTGATTATAGTCATCATCTAAGCACACATGTTGGACATGAGCAGTCACCGGAAACCAACATTCACTTGGCCACTGTGCACCATTCTACAGTTGAAACCTGTCTCGTAAAGAAGCCTGTTTTGAATACAAGCCTGATGTTGAAGATGCACTGTTGGCACATACGCCTGGTTTTAGTACTGTTATACATAAAATACCTACCTCGTATAGAATGCCTGTCTGGCATAGAAGACTAGTACTGACTTTGGTCTCTTCGGCAATAAGTCCGCCTCACTTTACACACATTACAGTAAGAACACATTCATGATGATTCGCGGTTTGCGTAAGTCCCGGTCAATCTGTTTGTTTCGCAGCCGTGGGAAC